CCTTCTGCCCCTGTCAGAAGAAAATTTACCGGAGTCACAGAGTGGTTTCTGACCATATCGTGGAACTGTGGATATGATCTTCACAGCACAGCAACTGCAAGAAAAGTGTCGGGAGCAAAACCAACCACTGTATATGGCTTTTATTGATTTAACTAAAGCCTTTGATTCAGTGAATTGCCATGCCCTCTGGACTGTATTCTCTAAGTTTGATGTATTTATCAGGACATCCAATGTCCTAAAATTGCTTCATGATAACATGAAAGCAACTGTTCTGAGCAGCACTGGCTCCCAGAGAGAACCTTTCATAGTACAAACAGGAGTAAAACAGGGCTGTATCATTGCTCCAACCATGTTTGTGGTTTTTATCATCGTCATTCTTTACCTAGTTGCTGGGAAGTTTGCAGCTGGCATTGAAATCATTTACAAGATGGACGAAAAGCTGTTCAGGCTTAGCAGGCTGAAAACCAAGAGTAAGATCTCCACAACATCTAATGTGGAACTTCAGTATGCTGATGACAACGCAATCTTTGCCCACTCTGAGAAAGATCTTCAAACTATCTTGAATGTGTTTGCCGATGCTTAAGTATGTCTTGGTCTCACTCTCTCTCTCTCTCTCTCTCTCTATATATATATATATATATATATAAATACACACACACATGCCCCAAAACTCTTCTACTTCAAAATATAACCCAGCTATTAACTCATGAGGGTATGACAAAACTAAGTGTTACAACAGATTATTCCATAGTTGTGCCACTTCGTGATTCCTTATGTTTTCCTTGTTATTCCATATTCCATATTATTCCATATTTTCCATGTTATTCCATATTTCTGTGAGAATCATGAAAAAAATCATACACTATACAAAAACATGCATTTGTATCCTTATGAATAGAATATTGCTTCCCTTAATAAAGATTTGTCATTTACTTTATATACATTTGTCCATTATTTCCTTAAAATCCAAGTAATTGCTCAATAACCCAACACACAAGTGTGGAGTTTAGATAATAATGGCCACACTGTCTCACTGCATTCTCCCAAGGATAGGAGTCCCTTTCAGTTGTGTTAAAACACAGGTGCAGTTCCAGATCTATTAACTCCAAGTCCAGGTTGACTGCGTGATATGCACCACTTGGGTTGGCAGCTGAGAGGACTCTGACTGCAAGTTAGCAGGTCTTGAAAAAGCACTCATACCACAGTGATAGGTGATTTTATAGGAACCTACTAGATATTTAGATTCTGACCTTACTTAACCAATGTTGCTGTTCAGCTGAATCATCTGACTCATCACATCTGTATCAGTTCAATTCATTTTTCTTCCAATAAGAAAATAATCCACTATTTTGGCCATATTCTCAGCCTGGTCTGCCACCTTTGTGCCATGGAAGAGTTGCCATAACAGGGCATCTGAGGATTTCCCTTGCATCGTTGGGTGTCTCAGGCAAGTGACCACAGCACCTGAACTATGGCAATCCTAGGCCAGTGAAATGTTCCCTAGAGAGCCATTAATGCTGTGTAAGTTATGACAGCCCTGCTATTGTTCTAATTTACAAGCAGAGCCAAACAAGCTTTCAGAATCAAGGAAGCACAAAGAGGATTTTAAGCCTCTATTGCCCCTTCAACCCAGCCAAGCATAGATTGGCTGGACTTGAGAATCTTTCCCAGTTACAAACTTTCCTGAATGTAGGAAAAATATATACTGTATATTCTGAGGATGCTGTATAACAACCAATACCAAGGTACCACTTTATCTTAACTAGAAAGGATCCTTTAAATTACCCTGTGAAAAAAAAAGAATCTAACACCCTGTGTTGATTCTGTGTTGCCTTTGAGGGCACTAGTTGCACTGTAGCATTCAGTCATGCTTCACATACCTCAGTGGACATGCTTCGATGGATAGTCATATCCAGAATAGAGAGGGAATAGATTTATTTACTTCATGTAGACAAGGTGCAGCTTGGCTCACAGCTGTCAGAAATGGTATTGCTTTACATGAAACTTATTAGCTCAGGGTCCCAAATGGCAATTTTATTGTTCAGAAATAGTATGGCACAGAAAGATAGACAGACACTTGGTGGAGGCTTATTAGAAGATTCTTATTTACGTACGAACATTGTTATGTTTCAGAGTTCTTTAAAACATAAGGGCCAATCCACCAGTTATATATTTTCCTTTTATGTTTAATTAAAATAAATTAGTGCTTATAAAAGGTGCCAGAGAGGCAGTGGCATTGCAATGTTCTCCAAAATGCCTGCCAATGGCTTTTGGCCTGTGAACAATGCTGCTAATAAGGGTATGTCTACACTACGGAATAAGGTCGAATTTATAGAAGTCGGTTTTTTAGAAATCAGTTTTATATATTCGAGTGTGTGTGTCCCCACAGAAAATGCTCTAAGTGCATTAAGTGCATTAACTCGGCAGAGCGCTTCCACAGTACCGAGGCTAGAGTCGACTTCCGGAGCGTTGCACTGTGGGTAGCTATCCCACAGTTCCCGCAGTCTCCGCTGCCCATTGGAATTCTGGGTTGAGATCCCAATGCCTGATGGGGCTAAAACATTGTCGCGGGTGGTTCTGGGTACACATCGTCAGGCCCCCGTTCCCTCCCTCCCTCCGTGAAAGCAAGGGCAGACAATCATTTCGCGCCTTTTTTCCTGAGTTACCTGTGCAGACGCCATACCACGGCAAGCATGGAGCCCGCTCAGGTAACCGTCACCCTATGTGTCCTGGGTGCTGGCAGACGCGGTACGGCATTGCTACACAGTAGCAGCAACCCATTGCCTTGTGGCAGCAGACGGTACAGTACGACTGGTAGCCGTCATCGTCATGTCCGAGGTGCTCCTGGCCACGTCGGCTGGGAGTGCCTGGGCAGACATGGGCGCAGGGACTAAATTTGGAGTGACTTGACCAGGTCATTCTCTTTAGTCCTGCAGTCAGTCCTATTGAACCGTCTTATGGTGAGCGGGCAGGCGATACGGACTGCTAGCAGTCGTACTGTACCATCTTCTGCCAGGCAGGCAAGAGATGAGGATTGCTAGTAGTCGTATTGTACCATCTTCTGCCAGGCAGGCAAGAGATGAGGATGTCTAGCAGTCGTACTGTACCATCTTCTGCCGAGCAGCCATGAGATGTGGATGGCATGCAGTCCTTCTGCACCATCTGCTGCCAGCCAAAGACGTAAAAGATAGATGGAGTGGGTCAAAACAAGAAATAGACCAGATTTGTTTTGTACTCATTTGCCTCCTCCCCTGTCTAGGGGACTCATTCCTCTAGGTCACACTGCAGTCACTCACAGAGAAGGTGCAGCGAGGTAAATCTAGCCATGTATCAATCAGAGGCCAGGCTAACCTCCTTGTTCCAATAAGAACGATAACTTAGGTGCACCATTTCTTATTGGAACCCTCCGTGAAGTCCTGCCTGAAATACTCCTTGATGTAAAGACACCCCCTTTGTTGATTTTAGCTCCCTGAAGCCAACCCTGTAAGCCGTGTCGTCAGTCGCCCCTCCCTCCGTCAGAGCAACGGCAGACAATCGTTCCGCGCCTTTTTTCTGTGCGGACGCCATACCAAGGCAAGCATGGAGGCCGCTCAGCTCACTTTGGCAATTAGGAGCACATTAAACACCACACGCATTATCCAGCAGTATATGCAGCACCGGAGCCTGGCAAAGCGATACCGGGCGAGGAGGCGACGTCAGCGCGGTCACGTGAGTGATCAGGATATGGACACAGATTTCTCTGAAAGCATGGGCCCTGCCAATGCATGCATCATGGTGCTAATGGAGCAGGTTCATGCTGTGGAACGCCGATTCTGGGCTCGGGAAACAAGCACAGACTGGTGGGACCGCATAGTGTTGCAGGTCTGGGACGATTTCCAGTGGCTGCGAAACTTTCGCATGCGTAAGGGCACTTTCATGGAACTTTTGTGACTTGCTTTCCCCTGCCCTGAGGCGCATGAATACCAAGATGAGAGCAGCCCTCACAGTTGAGAAGCGAGTGGCGATAGCCCTGTGGAAGCTTGCAACGCCAGACAGCTACCGGTCAGTTGGGAATCAATTTGGAGTGGGCAAATATACTGTGGGGGCTGCTGTGATGCAAGTAGCCCACGCAATCAAAGATCTGCTGATATCAAGGGTAGTGACCCCAGGAAATGTGCAGGTCATAGTGGATGGCTTTGCTGCAATGGGATTCCCTAACTGTGGTGGGGCCATAGACGGAACCCATATCCCTATCTTGGCACCGGAGCACCAAGCCGCCGAGTACATAAACCGCAAGGGGTACTTTTCGATAGTGCTGCAAGCTCTGGTGGATCACAAGGGACGTTTCACCAACATCAATGTGGGATGGCCGGGAAAGGTGCATGATGCTCGCATCTTCAGGAACTCTGGTCTGTTTCAAAAGCTGCAGGAAGGGACTTTATTCCCAGACCAGAAAATAACTGTTGGGGATGTTGAAATGCCTATATGTATCCTTGGGGACCCAGCCTACCCCTTAATGCCATGGCTCATGAAGCCGTACACAGGCAGCCTGGACAGTAGTCAGGAGCTGTTCAACTACAGGCTGAGCAAGTGCAGAATGGTGCTAGAATGTTCATTTGGACGTTTAAAGGCGCGCTGGCGCAGTTTACTGACTCGCTTAGACCTCAGCGAAACCAATATTCCCACTGTTATTACTGCTTGCTGTGAGCTCCACAATATCTGTGAGAGTAAGGGGGAGACGTTTATGGCGGGGTGGGAGGTTGAGGCAAATCGCCTGGCTGCTGGTTACGCGCAGCCAGACACCAGGGCGGTTAGAAGAGCACAGGAGGGCACGGTACGTATCAGAGAAGCTTTGAAAACCAGTTTCATGACTGGCCAGGCTACGGTGTGAAAGTTCTGTTTGTTTCTCCTTGATGAAACCCCTCGCCCCTTGGTTCACTCTACTTCCCTGTAAGCTAACCACCCGCCCCTCCTCCCTTCAATCACCGCTTGCAGAGGCAATAAAGTCATTGTTGCTTCACATTCATGCATTCTTTATTCATTCATCACACAAATAGGGGGATGACTACCAAGGTAGCCCAGGAGGGGTGGTGGAGGAGGGAAGGAAAATGCCACACAGCACTTTAAGCACAGCACTTTAAAAGTTTACAACTTTAAAATTTATTGAATGACAGCCTTCTTTTTTTGGGCAATCCTCTGTGGTGGAGTGGCTGGTTGGCCGGAGGGCCCCCCCACCGCGTTCTTGGGCGTCTGGGTGTGGAGGCTATGGAACTTGGGGAGGAGGGCGGTTGGTTACAGAGGGGCTGCAGTGGCAGTCTGTGCTCCAGCTGCCTTTGCTGCAGCTCAACCATACACTGGAGCATACTGGTTTGGTCCTGCAGCAGCCTCAGCATTGAATCCTGCCTCCCCTCATCACGCTGCCGCCACATTTGAGCTTCAGCCCTGTCTTCAGCCCGCCACCTACTCTCTTCAGCCCGCCACCTCTCCTCCCGGTCATTTTGTGCTTTCCTGCACTCTGACATTATTTGCCTCCACGCATTCATCTGTGCTCTGTCAGTGTGGGAGGACAGCATGAGCTCGGAGGACATTTCATCGCGAGTGCGTTTTTTTTTCTTTCTAAGCTTCACTAGCCTCTGGGAAGGAGAAGATCCTGTGATCATTGAAACACATGCAGCTGGTGGAGAAAAAAAAAGGGATAGCGGTATTTAAAAAGACACATTTTATAAAACAGTGGCTACACTCTTTCAGGGTAAACCTTGCTGTTAACATTACATACATAGCACATGTGCTTTCGTTACAAGGTCGCATTTTGCCTCCTCCCACCGCATGACTACCCCCTCAACCTTCCCCCCTCCCTGTGGCTAACAGCGGGGAACATTTCTGTTTAGCCACAGGCAAACAGCCCAGCAGGAATGGGCTCCTCTGAGTGTCCCCTGAAGAAAAGCACTCTATTTCAACCAGGTGACCATGAATTATATCTCACTCTCCTGAGGATAACACAGAGAGATAAAGAACGGATGTTGTTTGAATGCCAGCAAACATACACTGCAATGCTTTGTTCTACAATGATTCCCGAGTACATGTTACTGGCCTGGAGTGGTAAAGTGTCCTACCATGAAGGACACAATAAGGCTGCCCTCCCCAGAAACCTTTTGCAAAGGCTTTAGGACTACATCTAGGAGAACCGCAAATGCCAGGGCAAAGTAATCCTTTCACATGCTTGCTTTTAAACCATGTATAGTATTTTAAAAGGTACACTCACCAGAGGTCCCTTCTCCGCCTGCCGGGTCCAGGAGGCAGCCTTGGGTGGGTTCGGGGGGTACTGGCTCCAGGTCGAGGGTGAGAAACAGTTCCTGGCTGTCAGAAAAACCGGTTTCTCCGCTTGCTTGCTGTGAGCTATCTACAACCACATCATCATCATCTTTTTCTTCGTCCCCAAAACCTGCTTCCGTGTTGCCTCCATCTCCATTGAAGGAGTCAAACAACACGGCTGGGGTAGTGGTGGCTGAACCCCCTAAAATGGCATGCAGCTCATCATAGAAGCGGCATGTTTGGGGCTCTGACCCAGAGCGGCTGTTCGCCTCTCTGGTTTTCTGGTAGGCTTGCCTCAGCTCCTTCAGTTTCACGCGGCACTGCTTCGGGTCCCTGTTATGGCCTCTGTCCTTCATGCCCTGGGAGATTTTGACAAAGGTTTTGGCATTTCGAAAACTGGAACGGAGTTCTGATAGCACGGATTCCTCTCCCCAAACAGCGATCAGATCCCGTACCTCCCGTTCGGTCCATGCTGGAGCTCTTTTGCGATTCTGGGACTCCATCATGGTCACCTGTGCTGATGAGCTCTGCATGGTCACCTGCAGCTTGCCACGCTGGCCAAACAGGAAATGAGATTCAAAAGTTCGCGGTTCTTTTCCTGTCTACCTGGCCAGTGCATCTGAGTTGAGAGTGCTGTCCAGAGCAGTCATAATGGAGCACTCTGGGATAGCTCCTGGAGGCCAATACCATCGAATTGTGTCCACAGTACCCCAAATTCGAGCCGGCAACGTCAATTTAAGCGCTAATCCACTTGTCGGGGTGGAGTAAGGAAATCGATTTTAAGAGCCCTTTAAGTCGAAATAAAGGGCTTCATTGTGTGGACCGGTGCAGGTTTACATCGATTTAACGCTGCTAAATTCGACCTAAAGTCCTAGTGTAGACCAGGGCTAAGAATGACATTTAGTGCCAGACTGCAATGAGCCAACACTTGTTGATTTTCTTGGAGGTTTGGATGCTACAGAAGATGCACATCAGCCAAGGAATGGTGGTCCAGATCTCTGGGGCCAGTCCTAGACTGGAACAAACTCACACATGAACTAAAGACCATCACAAACCTCACCACCTTCTCCCATAAATGCAAGCTGCACATCTTTGACTTTGTCTCCTGTAACAAACACATAGCAGTGTGTACCAAGCCAACCCCCAAGCAAAACAAAACACTACACTGCACACAGAGTTCTCCTCTTGGGCAGAGGATATGAGAAAGGATGAACCACATGTGACAGAGGATAGTCCATTGGTAATGTGCTACCAGAAGACACTATGGTGATGAGTGTAGTGTAAGACCCTGTGTAGAACAGGATGGATTGATACAAGATCAGTGTCCGTGGGCTGATGTTACTTTCTTCTTTCATGACACAACCCAGCTCATAAACAAAGGGTAGGGACATGGAATTGGGCCTGCCAGTTCTGCATGTGGAAGGAAAGCTCATAATGGCTGTGTAAGCACAGTATGAAATGTTGTCCACTGACCACAATAAGAGACAATTGGACGTATGATAGCAGTTGAGCAGAGATGTCAGCTTCTGCTAAACTCATTAACCTTTCACAAACGCAAACCAAATAAAGATTTTCAGGTGAAATAAATGCAGTGAATTTTGACTTGACGTTTTAAAAAGTGGTCAGTGGCCAGGGAGATGGGCATGGATCTTTGAGTGGTTATGCTGAAGAAGCTGCCAGCTTCATGAGATAGATGGGCAGAGAGAAACATTCTCCCGAGTTGGGGGAATCTTCTTTCATTGTCTATATGACAGGATGAGAAAGGGAGTAATGATGGCATAGTGCTGCTTTTGAATAGAGGACAGAGAGATTATGAAAGGTCGTTGAATGGGATGAGGCCGTGTGTTGGGAAATCTGGAGAGAGGGCAGCTGAGGTGCCTAAGACAAGAACACATGCCTTTTCCCTTGGTGAAATTTACTGAGGACAAATATACTCAGTATTAGTCTTAAGGTTTAATTGTAGCAAGTCACATAAAAGCACTAACACAATTTTGTTGGTTTGATCAGCAAAAGTGGAAGAGGTTTTTTTCCCAAAACGTTTTCACAAAAAAATATTAGTAGAGAAAAAATTAGCAAATTATTGATTTCTTTTAACAAATAGCTTACATCATCTTCATACTCCATAAAATTCCCCTTAGCAAATATTTACTAAATATTCCTACATTAAAAAAAAAATTTCCAAGCAAACCAACTCTACAAAAAGCTATTAGACTTCTCTGACAAAATTATTCAACAAATTATAAGGGTAGTTTTTCAGACAAATTCCCATACCACTTGTATGTTATCAAAACAAAATAAAGTCAGAATATGAAGCTCTTAAATGTAACCCTTCCTGTGATTAAAATTCTCCTTAAGGAAATAATGCGCTAAACAAGAGGCTTAGTTTAAGATCCTTAAAAGTTCATGCATATGCTGTTGGAGCTATCAAAGGGCCCATAAAACAATTTTCAATAGGAACTCACCCGTACGCCTTATGCTGTTTTTCCAGGCAGTTAGTCTAATTAAGCCTCTTAGGCAGGTTACAGCTCCCCAGTGGGATCTGAACTCAGTTTACATTTAGAATAATTTCTCAAAATCTTTGAGCCTTTGACTGAGGTCCCAGTTATTTTGTGACCATTCAAGGGGATCTTTTGCTTGCCTTGATTTTAGCTAGATGATTAATTACTGAATGGGCCATACCAATTACACTTTGTCAGCAGTCAGGATTGTAAATGCTAACTATTTTGAAAAGCATTAGTGTTTGGGCTTATAACAGCCAAGTGGGAAAATAATAAGTTCAATTTTTCATAATGGAGGGCCAAATCCTGCTTTCCTAACTGACACAGGTCTCTCAGTGAGGAAAGCACTTAGTTACATGCTTAACTTTAAGCACGTGCTTATATCCCATTAAAGTTAAGCACATGCTTAAAATATGATTTCTTGAACTGAGATCACCTTAAGCACAAGTTGTCTGAATCAGAGTCACAGCTAGAACCATTTATGTCATAGTGGTGCCACTCACATGAGTAACGAAGACTGGATTTGGCCCATATGCTGCTTTCTGTTCCATATGAAAGTTCTGGCTCATGAATGACAGTTGGATGAGTATAGACATGATGGATCAACAGTTTCCATCATTCACATCTTCATCAAGGTTAACAATATTAATCAATTAGATTGAAAAAATCTATTTTTCTCTTTACTAAACTATCGTTCCAAAGAAAGTTGAAAAGTTCAGAAAAAAAAGTTACTTTTAAAAAATGTCTGGCCATAATGGAGCGACTTCACATTAAAACAACCAGAAATAGTGTAACAATACATATGCTTTTTTCCCTGCACATCGTTTATATTTACAAGCTAAATACAACTTAGATTACGTCAGTAGTTACCTCTCAAGGAAATAAATCTCAATGCTCAACTCATCAGAAGCGAATGGGCCAAATTCACCACTGGTGTCATCTCTGAAGTCAATGTCCACTTGTGCCAACAGTAAGTTTGGTTCAATAGCTATTTATTGTTCACATATTGGATCAGATCTCTCTGTATGAAACATAAACATTTTAAAAAGCCTAGTTATTCATCTACATTTAATGCATTTCAATTAAATGGTTGCATTTATTTTAAGCATTATGCATATGGACAAAATAAATCACAAATACTTTAAACACAGCAGCAAGTATACAAATGTTTTCACACCTGGCTCTATGTTGAGTGTCAGTGATGACAAGTTATTCAGAGGAAACAAGACTCAGTTTTAGCAGGTAAGTGAAAGAATTATTTTTTAAACATTTACGGTGGGATTTCCAAAAGCACTGAGCATCAACTAACTCTTCTCTCAAGTGAACCATTGTAGAGTTAAGCCAACAAGGAGCACTTCTGAAAATCCCACATTATAATATTTTTATATGAGAATCATATCCTGCAAACTCTTAATGCTCCGCACAGTGCTAGCTATCATGCATAGTCCTACAGAGGCAACACTCAGAGGAACTATAGACATTAACAGGCATTATGCTTGATTGAATGGAAATGCAGGAACAGGCTCTAAGTGTACAAAAGTTGTTTACAGAGCTTTTTAAAATAGTTGGGCATCATAAACCAATGTTTGTTTGATTTCAAGGTGAAATAAATTGAAATTTACCTTTACCTGCATTTCATCATCTGAAACACATATAACATATGGAAACATTATTTTCCTGTAAGGGTTACTGAAAAACTACTGTTAAGAAGCAAAAAAAAAAAACTTCGTTTAGATTTAATTTTATAGCTTAAACTAACTTGAACACTAGTTCTGGAATTCAGAGTATTCTCAAGGTCAGTTCAACTTTTATTTCCCATATTTTATATCAAGAGATGCCGCCAAACTTTTCCCCTCAAAAAAGATGTTGAGTATAATTACATTGTCTAGATGTCAGGCTAGCAGTGCAATATGATATTCATAAAATTGGTGTCACCACCATGCTCTGAATACATTCATGTTTTTTTTTGCAGATTGTGAAATACCATTAATGGGACTGAGGAAAAAAAACGTTCTGTTGCTTAAAAGGAAAAAGTGAAAACATTTGCTACCTAACAGGGCCTGTAACAGGGAAATATATTGCTTCCATTAAGTTATTTGACAAAGTTAGAATATTGGCAAAAGGAAAGCAGACACTCCACATAGATTTCACAGGAGGTGCATCCGTATGTGTGCACATGTACACTTGAGCAACTTCATGTCCTCAGGTAAATATCTGACATTAAAATGAATCGTATTTATTATCTGTGTGACTTCTCTTTGGGTTTTTAAAGGTCTGGGTGATCTTTATTTTTATATGAAGAGTACACTGAACTGTTTCCCCTTGCCCTGACTGTCACCCTTCCCACCAGTGATCCAGTGAATTCTATGCACCTCACTGCACAGACTTTACCCTCAGGGAAATGCTCATGTAAAGCTAGAAACTCATACCAAGAAGGCAAAGCATGAGTGCTATTATTAAAAATACAAGTTAAATTAGGGGGAAAGTATATAATTAAAACTAAGGCGGGGGGAAATAAAGCCAGGATCATATGGACACAAATCACATTTTCAAAGAATGACATGCAATTTAGCACAAGTACTCACAAATGTGTTAATTGCCCATACAAATGGATACATACACAAAATATGGCTCAATTTTGAGGCTCATTGTAGGTTGCCAGATATGTTCCCTGAAGCTCCATCAAAGAATCTGACAAAAAAACAAAAATAGAGCACCAGATTCATCAGTACAATCCATTTACTTTGTGCCTTTATTAAGGTTCTCAGGCCAATGACACAACCTAGAACAGTCTCTCAGCTACTCTAACAAATGTCGGGGCAGGACTGGCACTGAATCAGGAAACCATAAGCAAGCAAATCATAGACACTGGAGAGAACGGCTAGCCTACAATTTGGAAGGACTAGAACATGGTATCCAACAGCCAGAATCAACTGCCATAAAAATGCTGTCATATCCACCCCTGGGAATTTCAAAACTACTTTAAGGGCCAAATTCTACACTCCTTACTCAGACTAAAGCTCCCAGTGATAAAATCACTGGGCATAGGCAACAAAT